CCCCCCCCCCCCCCAAAGGGATAACTATAGGTAAACCCTAGAAACCCAGATACCTAGTCAGATCCCGTCGCCACAAGAGCGACAGATACAGGATAGGAGCTGGGCTTCCAAGCAAAGTCTGCCGCTACCCTAGTGGCGCCTAGTGACGCCTAGATGCGAAGCCCCCCAAAAAAGCTACTCAAATCCCGAGAGGGGCCCTATCATTTGCGGCCCTGTACTTGGAGGATCTTGGGACTTAGTAAGTATGGTTATAAGTACCCTAATTGGGTTGTAAGTATAGTTATCCTAATAATCACCTTAGTTACCAAGTCTCATGAGTATGGTTATAAGTACCCTAAAGTTGGGTTGTAAGTATAGTTATCCTAATCATAACCTTCGTTCCTAAGTCCCATGATCCTTTAAGTAGTTTCAATGTCCTGAGGATCCTGGTGCCTCGATAATGGCGAGGCCGGCTTCGGCGGTTTCGGCGGCTGTGGTGGCTGTGGCGGCTGCTGCGGCGGCTGTGGCGGCTGTGGAGGGTGCGGGGGCTGCGGAGGGTGCGGTGGCTGCGGTGGTTGCGGCTGCGGGGGCTGCGGCTGCGGAGGTGGAGGCTTCGGCATGCAGCAAGGCTTCGGCGGAGGCATGGGCTGTGCCGAGGCTGCATCTGGAGAATTCAGCGGAAACGGGGGATGACTCAGGGTTTAGGGTTTAGGGTCTAACCCGATATGAACTTTGATAATGCAGATACGAATCATACAACTGATGTTGCTGCTGCCGATGGTGATAGTAGCAGTAGTAGTAGTAGTAGTAGTAGTAGTAGCAGCAATGGCAATGACTCAATGACAGTAACAGTATAGTTACGTCACAGTAATGCTGAGATGAAGTAGCAGATGAACAACTACCCATACTTAGAACAGTGGCAGTATAGAATATAGTAGTAGGGACGTCGGCTTTATGCAGATACGAGTACTCCAGGCCATGACGGCGCGTGATGTAGCCAGTAACTCTTAACCCGCCTAAACCCAACCCAGGGAAGCGCACATGCGTCACGCTGCAGGTCCCCAGTACGGTGGACAGGGCTTCGGAGGACCCGGCAATGGATACGGCCCAGCCGCTTGCTTCATGTTTGACGCATCCTAAGCCCTAAACACCACTTCAACCTAAACCCTGGCCCCAAGTCATACACTTTAAGCCCCACACCCTGGCGCCTAGGCCCCTGATCCCTTCTTTCTGGGAGCCTTAAACTTATCGAAGTACAGCGACGTCTCAAAAGGTTCCCCAGTAGTTCGGCCAATTGGGCTATCGGGGGCTTGAAAATCCCAAGTAACTTTATCGGAGCTCTCATACAGAGCCTGAAGCTTGAACACCGAAAGGCATAAACCTGAAACCTAAACCCTAAACCCTAAACCCTAAACCCTAAACCCTAAACCCTAAATCCTAAACCCTAAATCCTATATCCTAAACCCTAAACCCTAAACCCTAAACCCTAAATCCTATATCCTAAACCCTAAACCCTAAACCCTAAATTCTAAAGCCAAGCCGGACCAGGCCAGTACCCCACAGAGTGATCCGCGCTTCTCCCCATATGGCGGAGCACCACAGCAGGGTGGATTCGGAGGCCGGGGGTAAGGTTTACGGTTTAGGGGTTGCAGGGTTTTAGGGTTTAGGGTGAGGTTTAGGGTTTGGGGTCTGGGGTTCTGAGAGTTCTTTAGGCTTCATTACAATATACCCGAGAGTCCTACTGAGGTCATGAAGGCCTTTCGAGTGTGTAAGGGTAAGGTTCGGGTTCTGCTGGAAATAAAATTCTGCACCTGTTCCGGTGCCTTTTTAGACTTTAGGCTTAAGCAATTTATTTGTTTGATGTTTTGGTTGTAGGGTGTAGGATTTGGGGTTTCGGGTGCATGGTTCAGGTTTGAGTGATTACGTCTCATCAAGTCTCATCTCTAGGATTTCCGGTACTATACTGTTTTGCCATATCTTGTTTTGGTGATTTCCTTTTCACAGCTGAGCATTAGGCAAAAACGAACATCTTTGTTTTTGAGAGGATACTGCAGAACACGGATCTGGTCTTGGTCCTGAGATAGTTGTACTATATCCTAAACTCCCAAACCCTGAGACCGAAACCCCTGAACCCGTAAACCCTAAATTCTTAAACCTCTAAACCCAAAAACTCGTAAGCCCCTAAACCGAAACCCCTAAACCCTGACCGCTAAGCGCCTAAGCCAATATCGTATACCTGAAGGAACCCTCCTTGGAATCATGAAGGCCCTATCACCCTAGACAAGCTAGTAACTCAGTATGAAACCGCCTAAAGCCCTATATAACCCTTCTGCGATACGTGCAAAAAGCGCGAGAAAGCCCTAAACAGCCCTCAAAACCATAACCCACCGAAAGAGTCCGAAACCCCAAACCCTAAACCCCTGAACCCTAAACCCGAAAATCCTACACCCCCAAAACCCTAAAACCTTAAACCCTAAAGCCTTAAGCCTTAAGCCCTAAACCCTAAACCCTACAGGAGTCATGTCATAAAGCCCCCCAGCCCTGGGAGGAGGCCAAGGGGCCATGGGCCAGGGAGGACCTGCCTCTCTACCGCCAGGCCATGGCTGACATAGGGGCAGAGATTAGGGTTTAGGGGTTTAGGGGTTTAGGGTTTGGGGTTCAAGGTGTAGGCTTTATGGTTTAGGGTTTGGGGTTCAGGGTTTAGGGTTTAGGGTTTGGGGTTTAGGGTTTAGTTTCGGGCTCAGGGTTGAGGCGTTTAGTGTTTCCTGGGTTAAGCCCCAGCAGTCCTAACGCCCTAACTGCTGATGCTCTAAAAGCCAAAGCATGTATGAAACCTTTGCAGAACTTTGATAGAGCCCTTATAGAGCCACTTACAAAGAACAAAAGCTCCCTACACCCTAAAACCCCCAAACCCCTAAACCCTTAACCCATATAGACCCGGAACACTAATTGAAGGCTCCCTCAGATGCTAAGCCCCTAGTAGCCCCTAGAAACCCCTAAGCGCTTAACCCTTATAAAGCCTAAGCCCTACTGAAAGCCCCATAAGAAGCTCGAAGCACCCCAGGCCATATTAAGCCCTTATTAACCCAGCACTAAAGCCTTACAAAGCCCTTATTAAAGCCACCTTAGGCCCTTATAAAGCTATTTCAAGATCGAAAAGTTCTGAACACCCTAAACCCTAAACCCCTAAACCCAAAACCCCTATAGACCCCAAACCCCAGTGACCCCCCCATAAACCCTATAGACCCTGAACCCCTATGAACCCTAAAAACCCTGCGGAGCTCAACCCTAAACCCTAAACCTTAAACCCTAAACCCTAAACCTTAAACCCTAAACCCTAAACCGTTTTTGCCAGGCTGGGAACAGACGCAAGATCCCAGCAGCACCGACCCAAGATCTGCCCCATGGGATCGGGGTTCCTTTAAGGGTTCCTTTAAGGGTTCCCTGAAGGATTCCTTTAAGGGTTCCTCTAAGGGTTCCTTTAAGGGTTCCCTTAAAGGGTTCCCTGAAGGGTTCTTTGAAGGGGGAAGGGTTCCCTTAAACGTTCTATAATGGTTTAGGGTTTAGGGAGCTTCCTTGAAGTGGAGTCCAACATGTTCCGTTAAGGGTTCTATGACAGTTTAGGGCTACGGAACTTGGTATAAGCTAGCACCACAGAGATAAGGGCTTTCAGGGCTTTCGGTTTAGGGGTTTTGGGTTTTTGGAGTCTGGTGTTTTGTTTGAAATTTTGGTGCTTGCGGCTTTGGAAGGATTTCGGAGTTTGCGGCGGAGATTATCATCATTAAGGGCGGTCGCCTAAGCCACCTGTATTTCTGTCTGTCTGTCTGTCTGTCTACAATAGACCCAAAAAAGTCGGAAACCGGATTAAGGACAAATCGTGTTGGGATTCCTTACACATCACTCTTAAGGATTGAGGCTAGTGGGTTTCCAACTTTTGGGCTTCTACTAGATCTAATGGACCTATCTATCTGTAAATCTGATCACCTCTAGCGATTATGGTGTTGCGTGGGCCATGGCATAGGGGTGTCCCATATGATATTTGCGGGATACATATTTTTTTAATCGGATACGCTTCCAGATAATTCCGTTTAGGGTTTAGGGTGTAAGGATTCGGGTTTAGGGTTTAGGGCCCCTGTATCAAAACAGAGAATGATCTTACCCTACCTGTGTCTGTTCTTCTAAGGAGCTTTGCATTTGTCGGCCTGTCGGCTTTGAGGTGGCAAGACGACCTGCTGCAACCCTTGCCCGCTCTAGAGTAAGTAGAGTAGAGTAGAGTAGAGCATAGTATACTATAGCATTGTAGTGTGGAGTAGAGCAAAGTACAGTATAGCATAGCATAGCATAGCATAGTGTAGTATTATACACTCCCGAAACCTCATGAGGTGGCAAGACTTACTACTTCAACCGCAGCACCAACGAGACTAGCTGGACTCCGCCCGCAGCGGCTCCTGCACCGGCGCCGGCCATCGAGGTCGAATTGAGGGTTTAGGGTTTGGGGCTTACGGCGTAGAGCTTTCTTACAGGATCATGGGACCTAGTAACTAGGGTACCATACTTTTAATCATACTTGTCCCCTCCCCCCCCCACCCTGCCCCCCCCCCGTGTCAGAGCATTTAAGGCTTTACTACGTCCCAGTAGGGTTTAGGGTGGAGCAGGGTACCTGGAGCTCGGGGAACCGTTTCAAGATCCTGATCTGGCTGGGGTGCGTTAGGACTTTGAGGGCTGTGGGGTCTCAGAGTTAAGAGCTTCAGGGGTTTTAGGGCTTTAGAGTCTTAGGGTCTTAGGGTTTAGGGCCTTTGGGTTTAGGGCTTGAGGGTTTGAGGGTTTTGGCGCTTTAGGGTTTTAGGGTTTTAGGCTTCAGGGTTTTGGGCTCAGTTGCTCCATGCACGGCTAACCGTTACAGCTGCGCACAGGCTGGCGGCTCCTTGCCACCGGGTTGGGAACAGGCAACCGATCCAAGCAGCGGCAAGCCGCAGAGCCGACACGTTTAGGGTTTAGGGTTTAGGGTTAAAGCGAGCAATCTCCTGTTCGTGCTAGAACAGAAATCCAAGACTTCTTGACTATTCATGGTGCTGCAAGTGTGATTGATGTTTCTGTGTCAGTCTGGTCGAAAGATCTGGAGTGTGGGACTAGCTGGTTCTTGAAATTCACGCCGCCGGCTGCGGTGGGGGTGCGGACATGTTGGGCCAATCGGTAGTTGAGGCGCGGCGTGAGACCATCTCATGATCTCAATAAGCCCAAACTCCTTTAACCCTGAACCTTAAACCATCCCTAAACCCTGAACCCTAAAAGCCCTAAACCCTGAACCCTAAACCCTAAACCGTATCTAAACCCACTGCGACTCAGCCAGGTACTATTTCAACAGGTCGACCAACGAGACCAGATGGGAAGCCCCGACCATGTGAGAGTGGTACTTTGGACTTGTCCGGGCCCTTTCCAGTTATAATCGGGCTCGCAGAAGAGTTGTGCCAAGCCATGCCAGCTATTCGCACCACGGCCGCCAAAGCTGCAGCTCCGCTCATAACTGGGGCCTCCAGCTAAATGCGCATCAACAGGGGCCGCTATGCCGGCCCGGCTTCTATGAACCTCCAAAAGGAACCCCTATAGGGGCCCACCAAGACCTACCCGGTAGTATAGGGGCAGTTATACCGATGCTATTTCTGATTCTTAAGGCTCTTCAACCTATTAATGTAGGATCATATGCCTCAAAACCCTGCCCTATTCGAATCATCGAGGCCCCCGAAGGTAGTTCGGGTCCGGGTCCCGCTCCCTGATGGCTAGGCCCAGCAAGAGGAGACTCTATCCCTCAGTGGGGTTCATATTATGTACCGCACTTAGACATCAAGAGGTTGCCGTGCATTTTGGAATCTGCGTGCCCCGACACCAAAAAGACGGCCCATGCTCTGCTGATGCCTGCCCATAGACCCCAAAGTAGTTCCTTTTTGGGGTTCATATATAGAATCCTATAAGGTAACCCCAAAAACGAACTACTATGGGGCCTATGGGTGCATCTCTCGGGATTCGCCAGGTGAGGAAAGTCACAGCACATGCATGTTTTTGGCGTAGCGCCACGTGTTTCGGGGCGGTTAACCCTAAACCCTAGACGTCAAGCGAACTTAACCACCAGGAGTTTCCTAAATGCAGACCGTCAGAACTTCTGCTCGCTGCGGAGCTTGTCATCATTGCGTTTTTTGATTGATGGACGCGACATGCTGCTTCCGGCTCAAGCTGAGCGATTATCTTTGCGCCTTTCAGAAGTTCTGGAGTCCGCAAAGGCAGGTGCTGCAGAGCATGTCGGAACAGTAACATTAGACAAAGGGCACTTTCGGAAACGTCTCTGCAGTGTTGTGGCTGCCACTAAAGCGGACCCTGCACGCTTGCAGAACCCCTTTGAAAACGCTTGTAGAACACTTACAGGAACCCTGCTTGTGTAGAAGCCTTGATAGATCTCTGAACCCCCAATATAGACCCTAAATCCCCCTGACACGGTTTAGGGTTTAGGGTTTATGTGAGCGTTGCACTTGGAGGGTTTTGGGGTGCGCAGCATCTGCTCAAGCGCACTGTCACGGTGAAGGTTGCCGCTTGGGTTACTTTCGCTCTACACCGAATGGTTAGTAGGTATAGTTAGGTATAGATACATGCGTATTTATTCAGACAGACAGATACATCGATGAGTGGCAGTCGGGGTGTGTATATGAAGGTTGCAACCGGGAATTTCAGGGTGTTCAGCATCGTGAAACCGCTGGCGTTGAGCTTGTTGCCATACTTTTCAAGTCTTGGCAACTGACATCATGCCGTTTGCATATATCACTCGCAAATTAAGCTCAGACATTGCATTCACCAATGTTGGAGGTACATCTTTACGTGTGCTTGTGTATGTGTTTCAGTATACATCGGCGAGCCTGAGCTGACAGTTGTTCGCAAAACCCTAAACCCTAAACCCTAAACCCTAAACAGCAGGCCCGGCGTGCTTTGGCATGTGGGAGACCACCGGCGCTGGCTACTCAGTGGACGTGCTGCATGTCCCTTGATGCACTTAGTAGCTGAGTAGGTAGCCTTTAACCTTTTGGAGCTTTTGGGGTTTCTAAAACCCTAAACCCTAAACCCTTTTCATACCATAAGGTCAAGCTCTTTTGGCCTAGCTGTGTTTGTTTACTCCGGCTGCGGTGCTTCTTGCACTTGGATCTGGGGTCGCTTAGGAGGATGCGCTGTATGTTCCTAAGGACTTTAGGAGGGACCCCTAATCGGGACCCTTAATCCCATTACCTTAAATAACCATTGCATAGTCCTTATATGCCCCTTATATAGCCAGGTAGTCTTCATATTAACCCCAATAACTTACAAGGGTCCCTGTTAAGGGTCCCTCCTAAAGTCCTTGGATTGTTGCTGTGAAGGCTTCGCAGGGTTGCACGGGAGGGGCAGCGAAGCTTCTGATTCTGATATATGGGTAGTTTTGGAAGTCAGGGTCCCCTTTTATCCCCAATATAGTACGGCACCCTTATAAAAAGGATTTCAAGAGGGACCTTATTTTATTTAGAGAGCTACCCATATACTGCTTGCAGAGAAACAGGTTTCGCAGAGTCTCCATGTTTGGCTTTCTGTTGCACTTGCTCGCTGCAGGCTAACTTGGACATGGTTGCGGAAATCCTGTGCCGGAATCTTGGAATGCAGCAGCAGGCATGCGCGAACTCATCACAGACAGCCACTCGAGCCGAGCAGCTGTCACCCCGCAAAGCATCGGAATGCTCTGCGATGCTTGACGTGCATCCCGTTCACGCCAACATGTCGCAGACACTTCTCTGGAGCTTATGCCCTGACGTGTGTGTCTCGCTGGCTGTCGAGAGCCACCAGCTGGCAATCTCCAAAGGCACTGAATTGAAGCAGATGTCCTTCGGGCTCGTCGCGGCGGAGGGCATGGCAATGGGAGCTGTTTGTGTTCGGGAGGGCTGTCTGGTGAAGGCATGTTCTCCCAACTACCGTCACGTTCTACCTGCCTCTGTCACAGCACATGCCTGCAAAGCATCACGGTATGTCTTGCAGTTTCTCAGCTTGCACAGCATCTGGGAGATTGTTTCCGCGTCGTCTTCCGCTTCCTTGCGTCGGCGTTGCGGGCAGTTCAAGACGTCCAGGTCTCCAACCTTGCAGATCATGTTGAGTCGTGTTTACCATGTGCCGAGGTTTCAAGAGCTACGATCTGTCATGGGTGCACGGGACTCCGTCGTGTCATTGTACTCCAGGGTGTGCTGGGGGGATGCTGAACTGAGCTGCAGCTTGCAAGGCTGCTCCCTTTGTGCTCCTTTGAGTCCTTCGATTTCGCAGGTGTGTGGGCGGGCCGTGTCCATGGCATCCTCGCATTGCGAAGCTGTGGCAGAAAACGGGCAGCAGCCGTTGGTGGGGTCACGCGGGTCATTCTGCCGCATCACCAAGTCACAGCTCGTGCGTTGCACAGCAGATGACACTGCTTTTTTGGAGTTAGCCCGGCCACTTTTCGGTAGCGTGCTCTCTGCCAGTGCCCAGCCCACTGCGGGCTCCAGGCACCTCTTGGGTGTTTGCTGGCCTCGTTGCCCACAGCTCGTAGCATCCGGGCAAGCTCAAAGATCGCGCCGTCGTGCCGCAACAAAGCTGCAGCTCAGTGCGATGATCCATTCAGCAGTCTTGCGGATCTGGAGAGGAACTTCGCAACCAGCACGCGGTGGTGTCCATTGCTCAATCCCCGTACTCTGCACGACATGGCAATGGCAGGATTCCGAGCTGCGTCTTCTGGCATCTGCGGTGGCCTCTTCTTTGATGCGGCCGCTTCAGGTTTGTCGGTTTGCATGCTGCAGCACATCTGCACAACGGAAGTTTCACTGGACAAATTGCAGCGGGGATTCTTGGCAGGGATCAGATGCTCCGATGGATGTGGACTTGTTGAGTTATTGCCTGCCCAGTCGCAGCTTCCCCTTGCATCGGCAGACCTATCACTCGTTCCCGTGCTTGCGCACAGAAACTCGCTGCAGTGCATCCTGTGCAGCAAAGTGGAAGGTCTCACATCAGCGTCCAAGCTCGCGGGTTGGCTTGAAGGCAACGCTACGCAAGCGTGCTGAGAGTGCTTTCTGTGCCTTCCGCGACTCAAGCAAGCAGTTGATCGAGTGCCTTCGTTTGGCCACCTGCATCTGGAGAGCAAGGCAACATCCCGTCAGCTTGGGCACCGTACAGCACCTGTGGGATGCCCAGATGAAAGTTGCTCCGGTTTTGTGGCAAATAGAGCTGCCGACAAGCTTCTGGCAGGTTTCCGTGGTGTGTCTGCTTTCGACGCCTCACACGGCAGCTCACCTGAAACCTTTGCGGCAAGCTTCAACCTCCGTGCAGATCCCTCGCACATTCGTGGGTCTAGGGCAGTTAAGCCTCCGGGCCTCCCTTCTGCTCTGCCTGAGCTGTCGCAGCTTCCCCAGCTATGAGATGTTGCGTTCCCTGTGCCTGAAGCTTCTCTGCTGTTTCCCGCCGCACGTTCGCACTGCAGGACTCAGCACCTGCAAGCCCAGAAAACCCCAGGGTTTTCTGGCCTTCGCGCCTGCTCGTCTCCTTCCCCGCCCGCAGCCGAGGCACGTTTCGTTCGTTAATCGTATGCTAGCCTCTTCCTGGGCCGTGTCTATGTTTGTTGAACTGATGTGTACATGCTCCGGTTGCTGCAGGCGCACTCTGAGCACCAAGCTTCAGGCATTGAGGCTGTCAGCTCATTCCCCAGTAGCAGTCGAGGCCGAGGAACGAAAGTTTAGGCAGTTTAGACAAGTCCCAGTTTTGCATAGCAAGGCTCTTCTATGCAAAGCTGAGCCGTCGCCCTCAAACAGGACTCGAGGCTTCGCCATGCGGCTTCACGGTTTCATATCCCTACTAGGAGGCCGCCTGCCGATGCAAGACCCGCTGCCCTTTTTGCATGCTTTCAAAGTTCTCTTCCCTTGGCATGTTGAGGTTCTTCGGCTCCAGGAGAAGCAGCTCCCAGCTCGAGGCCAAGGGGCTTCAAGAGACAGGAAGTCGTCCAGGAAAGGCTTCCTGGCAAAGCTTGCAGGTCTAGATTCTCTTCGGCTGGTTTGGCTGGCCGGTGGCTCTTCAGACTCTGCGTTGCTCGGCCTGGGGTTGTCACCGACGCTCTCTCACTGTCGCGCCCCATGCGTCGCGAGGCCGTTGCCTTCTTGTTTGTCCGTGGCATGCCGACCCATCCCCAGGAGCTGCAGCCGTGAAGCTTGGCGGGGTGCCTTGCGGGGACATGAGCCGAGACGGCCCGCATCAGGCTTCAGGGTCCTGACCTTACTCGTAGAAACCTGGAGACTTCTTGTCCTGCCTTTGAATGCCCTTCGTCTTCTCGGGGGCTTGACTGGAGTCCGCGTGAGCACGTACCATTCGCCAGCAAAGTGTTCCGGAGCAAGCTTCTGCACCCGAAGCTGCGTCGGCTCTCTTCAGGCAGGACGAGCACAATCCTTTCCGACTTTGTCGCCTGCAAGTTTCCTTCAGAGTGCGAAGACTGTTACGGTGCAGAGTTGTCTTTGGGCGGAAGGATCTCTGCGATTTCCGGAGGGCGGCCGAAGAGTGGAGCTCCGAAGAGTGAAGCCCAGCGTCTCCGTGGGCTTAAGCACGAGGCAGTGGAGGCAGAGGCTGATTGCATCTCGGCAAGTTCAGAGGTCCTGTCCTCAGCCGAAGCGGAACACTTCCAAGGCTTCCGTTTTTTGGATTTCCAATGGACTCCCAAGCTGCGACAGCCTCCGTGGCTTTGGCCAGTACTTGAGCACAGAGTCTAGGGCCTTCGTGCTATCCGGGACATGGCACATGCAGGTTTCCCGGCTACGTCTTCTGGCGTCTAAAGCAGTTTCAACACTGAGGAGGTCGGTTTCTCCATTGTGTCGGCTGGGCAGCTGCGCCGCACCGCCAGCTGCAGGTTCTGCCAAGCCATGTCTCGTTCGGACCGATCTTGAGTTGACAAGAAGCATGATCCGCTTGAATTCTCCCTGGCTCGTCCACTTTCTGCCAAGCGCAAAAGTTACGGCTGTGGCTTCTGTCGCACCTGGTTGGCGGTTGCCTCTGAAGGTAACGCTACGCAAGCATGCTGAGAGTGCTTTCTGTGCCTTCCGCGACTCAAGCAAGCAGTTGATCGAGTGCCTTCGTTTGGCCACCTGCATCTGGAGAGCAAGGCAACATCCCGTCAGCTTGGGCACCGTACAGCACCTGTGGGATGCCCAGATGAAAGTTGCTCCGGTTTTGTGGCAAATAGAGCTGCCGACAAGCTTCTGGCAGGTTTCCGTCGTGTGTCTGCTTTCGACGCCTCACACGGCAGCTCACCTGAAACCTTTGCGGCAAGCTTCAACCTCCGTGCAGATCCCTCGCACATTCGTGGGTCTAGGGCAGTTAAGCCTCCGGGTCTCCCTTCTGCTCTGCCTGAGCTGTCGCAGCTTCCCCAGCTGCGAGATGTTGCGTTCCCTGTGCCTGAAGCTTCTCTGCTGTCTCCCGCCGCACGTTCGCACTGCAAGACTCAGCACCTGCGAGCCCAGAAAACGCCAGGGCTTCCTGGCCTTCGCGCCTGCTCGTCTCCTTCCCCGCCCGCAGCCGAGGCACGGCAAACTCGTAGCTTTGTTGCCAATCGCGGTCGCACCTTTCGCTGATCTGTTATGTGGCGGCTCTTCGCCAGCTCGTTTGGCACTTTGCTTGCGCACAGCTGGCAGATGGCGACGGTGGCGGGGAATTCGCTCGTACTCCAGAGCTTTCTGGATTTCAGGACATCGTGCCAAATCCCAACCGACCTTGCCAGTGTGGCTCCATGCCTTGCTAAGTAGTCCAAGGCTCACTGCCTTCAGTTCAAGGCAGAATCGTCTGTTGTCAGTTTCTCAGAAAAGTTTCAAGCGACCGAAGCCTCAGACATCCTGGTCGCGTCGGTCTGCTTCTGGCCAAGTGCTAGATTCCGCACAACTCCTCTCGGTGCTGCTGATTGCCGGTGGTGCGCGCACAACCTTTCAAGGCACCCTGCCGGGCTACTTGTCACACCTGTGCCGATTGTCTTGTGGCGGCAGCACTTGCTACTTCCATCCAGTAGAGGAGGCCCTGATGACAGCAGCCATTTCATTGTATCTCTCCAAACTAGTTCAATGGATGAAAGTCGGCACCTGGAAGCACATACAGCCCTCTCAGCAATGGAGTTGTCCACTGGAGACCACTCTTGTCGCCCACAGTTTCGGGGCATTGATTGCCTATAGCCTGGCACAGCAGCTTGAAACTTACGGGTTTCGCGTTCCGGCCATCATTGCGCTCGACAGTCGCTCTGGAGCCCCAAGACACACTTTGAGCCAGCTGCAACCTCTGGCCTTATCCCAAAACCGGGCACCATTTCATTTTCATCTCGAGACAGCGAAGGCTGCCTACATGGCGCCCCACGCGCCTCGGATTGCAACAGGTCTTGGCTCGGGGCAGCTTGCTACAGGCTACGAGCACGTCATGCGTCGACACTGAAGTAGGCCTGGGTGAGGCTTGTGTTTTAGGTCCCTCGAGAATCAAGCGTCGGCTTCATCTAAGGTACCTCCAAACGCGCGGCGCCTCGACACCAACGTTGATATCTTCAAGAGCGGACGGGTCTTCGCTCATGTGTACTTGGCTGACACCAACCACTTCAACCTACCAAGAGATGCGGCGTGGGATGTGTCAGTCCACTTGCCAAGCATCCTTCGCCGCAATCCGGGTTGATCAAAGCAAGGTGCCGTCCCAAGGATTCTGCATGCAGCTTGTTGGCAATGTGCACACGATGCCCCGTTCGGAGGTGATGTCAAGTGTGGGCATGGTGCACTGTGGCCAGCAGAGTGCGGAGGCTCGTGGACGTTGACTTCTCAGAGTCAGGTCATTCCAGCCCAGACACTGCATGGGACTATGACCATCCCGTACCCTCCAGTAACTTACTACATAGGGCCTTGGGGGCTCTAGAAACCCTAAACCCTAAACCCTAAACCCTAAACCCTATATAGTAGGTATCTGGGGGGTTAGGGCACCCAAAGAGCCCGGAAAGGTCCAACAGTCCTTCATTCGGAGGCCCCGGGTAGGAAGCTCTGCACTTAAGAAAGTGACTGCGCAGGCTTCCGACATCTGAAGACCATGAGGGGAGCTGACAAGTCGCCGAGATGGGGGGCATTTTGTCCCTTGGGCGCCGAGGTTCGGGAAATTGTTTCACACCGTTTAGATCCTTTTAGGGTCTGCAGAGTTTTTTTAGTCATGTCATCACACACTTTGGCCGGCGGCTTTGGGCGCTCAGCCTAGGGAACCCAGCATTCAGAGCGCAGCATCGAATCGCATAACGTCCTCGGTTGTAGGGCTCTGCATCCTGAGCCTGAAGGCCCTCGAGAGGTTTGAGATCGGCCAAGTTCACGGTGTGATTCCTGCCACCTTTCCCCTATGTCCCCTATGGCTCTTACGAGCACCGCGTCCTTGACCGTATTGAGAACGACTCTATAAATCGCGAAGCAAGGGCGACCTTCTTAGAGACGTCGTACAGAAACTCCTTTCATGCCTGCTTTGGAAAGTGACGCTGCTCAAATGAGTGGCCAGCTTTCCAGTCAGGCTGTCAGGCTTTCGCTGCTGCCTTTTCTGTGTCCCTCGCTGTGTGTACAGTCCACCGTGAAGGGTAAGAACCAAGCGCCTCCCAAATTGAAAAAGTCTCTTGTTGAGAGTGTGGGTTTTTCCCAGCTCGGAGTGAAACCTACGAAACTCTGGGCCTTCGGAGGTAGAGCTCCCAAAATCCGGACCGACGGGTCCTTTCCGGGGTGGGGCATCTCCTCACGAAAGACTGCTGCAAGCTCCCGAGTATGAAATCCGAGGACTGCATAACAGCTGTTCCTACATGGGGTTTGCTGTGACGTCTGACATCACGAGGCCCGCATCTTCGAGGATCGATTGCTCCACAGCCATGATGGGCTCTCCCGGTAGGTGTCAGAGTAGTCTCAATTTTCTAGAATCAACAGCCTGGACAGACGTTCGCAGGCGTTGACCAGCCATTAAACCTGAAACCCGGAGCTCTAGATACTGCAGGCATTGGTCAGGAATTGTCTTCAAACAAAATCGGGTAGGCACCACGTTTCGCAGAGAAGGGCAATGTATAAGGCACCGGCAACCACGTGTAAACACATATACTAGGGCGCGCGCACACACATACCCACTTCGTACGGCGTACGAAATACCCTACTTACCTACGTATACCTACCTACCTACCTACATACCTACCTACCTACCTACCCACCTACCTACCTACCTACCCACCCACCTACCTACCCACGGACCGACCGACCGACCTACCTACCTACTTACCTACCTACCGACCCACCTACCCACCGACCAGGTGTTCCGCAGGTCCGTTTTCCGTTCTGTTTTGGGGCATACCTGAAGCGATGGCGCCCATGGAAGCTGTGGCAGCAGGCCATTCATTCCCATTGAGGTTACCGATGTTGCTGGGTTTAGGATTTGGGGCCTTGAAACCAGATCGCGCGGGCTGTCCTGCGTTCGTCTCGGCAAAATATCAACAGGAGTTCAGCAGCGCGAACCGCCCCGAAATGGACCCCAATCCAATCTAGAGGTTTGTTTGAATCATTAGTATTGGGAGCATCCCCTTCTCGTCCCTATACATCTATACTATGAGATGCCTGCAGAACAACCCTGGTCTAAGTATTGAGCTGCCTCAACTGAGAACTCTGAACACTCAACCCCAGAATTCCCCAGGATGACAAGCCACACCTTGGAGAACCCGAAACCTGAAGCCCCAAAGCCTAGGCCCCCAAAAAGAACCTGTAAAGCATCATGGTAGCATCTGCGAATCCCTCGTATGGAATCCATACCGACTTCAAGAAATCCTTGTAGAAACCCCAAACCATAAACCTTAAATCGTATACCCCGAACCCTATATCCTAAACCCAAAGCGCGCATTTCTGAAGATGTGCATTGGAGGCCGGGCGCTGGCGAGGAGGCCGGGAAGTCTTCGCATTCCTAGCCAAACAGAGCCTACATAGAGTTTAGGGTGCAGGTCAGGGGTTTAGGGTTTGAGGTTTGGGGTTCAGGGTTTTGGGTGTAGTGTTTTTGGGTTTGGGGTTAGGACTTCGTGACCGTGACAGGGGGTGCCCGGAAATGTTTGTGATCCTGTGTGCAGGTGTCCTGTTGTGGATACTACTCATATACTCCTTACCTCAAGCCTCTCTAAACCCGAAACCGCCTAAACCCCAAACTAGTAAACCCTAAACCCTAAACCAGGAGTGTTTTTTCGAAAAAACACTGACCCTCTCCACCCTCCCTGTCCGTGTAAACTGGAACAGCTAGTGTACATTTCAATGCCAGTTGTCGGCAAAGTGTCTTCGGAATTGGTTGGGCTGCACTTCCCTACAGCAGGAGATGGCCCAAAGTCAGAAGTCAGATGCCTCGAACGCCTCGGAATCCGTGAGGCCTTAAAGGCGCCATGGCTTCAGACCCCGAGAGACGCCGCGGAGCGCGACTTGGGCCGCTGCTGCTGGCCCTGCTCGCTGCCTTCACTCTTGCGGAAACTGGGTTCTTGTTTGGGTTTAGGGTTTAGGGTTTAGGGTTTAGGGTTTAGGGTTTAGGGTTTTGTTAAGGAACTTAGTTGAAGTCACCACAATTATATAGGACCATAGTTTACATTGCAAATAGTAGGGCTTCCGAAGTTACCAGAATAGGCTTCTTGTTTGTGAGGACTTTAGTTGTAGTTCAAGAAACAATTATAGGCATTTATGGTAATTAGATAGTATGGCTTCCTTACTATGGTGTTAAGGAGCATAGTTGAAGTTACCATTATAAGGACTTATGGCAAATAATGTGGCTTACTTTTATTATGGTGACCTGAATTCAGCCCTCAACCCCAAACCCTAAACCCTAAACCCTAAACCCTAAACCGCTAAACCCCGAAACCCCTACACCCTTACACCCTAAACCCCTAAACCCCTAAACCCCTAAACCCTAAACCCTAAACCCCTCAACCCCTAAACCCTAATTCCTAAACCCTAAAACCCTAAACCCTAAACCCCCAACCCCTAAACCCTAAAACCCTAAACCCCTAAGCCCTAAACCCTAAAACCCTAAACCCTAAACCCCTAAAACTCTAAGCCCAAAACCCTAAACCCTCTAAACCCCTAAACCCTAAACCCCCCCAACCCCCAAACCCTAAACCCTAAACCCCTAAACCCTACACCGTAAACGCCCCAAACCCCCAAACCCCCAAACCCCCAAACCCTAAACCCTAAACACCTATGTAAACCCTCAACCCTGAACCCTTAACCCTTAAAACCCTAAACCCTATAAGCCCTATAAACCCTAAAGCTCTTTCACCAGAGCCCAGGAAGGACTGGGATTCAGCCTCCCAGTGCGGCGACGCCAGGCACTCGGGGCGGCGCTCTCCTCGGCGTTGGGGGCCGCCCTCTCAGGAGAAAGCCCTAAACCCTGCGGTTTTGGGTTTGGGGCTATAGCGTTATAAGATTCAGGAGTTTAGGGTTTGGGGTTTAGGGTTTAGGATCATATAAGTCCTTTACCCGGAATATGGAATATATACCAGAATTCCCATAGTTTAGGGTCCTTAAGGTAATGCAGGATTTCTTTATCTTCAACCAATAGAAATAGTCAGAAGCACTAGGTTTTTGGTTAAAAAGCATTACAAAACGAATAAAACCAATGGGGTTTAGGGCTTTGGGTCAAAGCCCTAAACCCTAAACCCTGAGCCCTAAACCCTGAACCCTAAACCCTGAACCCTGAACCCTGAACCCCAAACCCTAAACCCTGAACCCTAAACCCTAAACCGTGAACCCTAAACCCTGGGGCCTGCCCTGCCAGGAGATGCGGCCCGGGCAGCGACGGCCTCTGTGGGAGCCTCTCCCGTCTTCGTGGACTCTGCGATCTTCGAACGTTTCTGGGCTCTTGTTAAGGAGTTTAGGGTTTAGGTTCATAACTCAAGTTACCATAACACGGAAGCCCTCATATTCTCTATAGGTCCCCATTATCGTAACTTATGAACTGAGTTTCTTAACAGAGGAAGAACCCAGGTTTGGAGCACTTCAAGGACATCGGCGTCCCAGCCACGCTGCAAGACCCCATTGCGCGGGCGGCGATTGCAGATGGCACCTGCCGCTTAGTGGTGGCACCCGGATCTGGTCCCTTTCCCCTGGACGGCTACGATTTCTGGCACCACAACCCGGAAAGAGTCAATTCCGTTCTAAAGGCATTGGGAACTGCCCGAAATAACCCCAAAACCCAACTCCCAAATCCTAAACCCCCTACAGCCCCCTACAACCCCAAATCCCAAAAAAACACCGACATCCCCAAAACCCAAACCCCAAACCCCCAAATCATCTTGAATTCTAAACCATGAAGGCCTTGGCTGAGTTGCCGTCCAGCTCCCAGCCCTCGAAGTTCGTGAGGGCGGCACCTAGGTCTCCCAATGGGCCCTTTCTCCCTTTGGGTTTAGGGATGAGGGTTTAGGGTTTAGGGTTTAGGGTTTAGGGTTTAGGGTTTATGGTTGAGGGTCTTGAAGTCTCAGGACCCTAAACGCAATACTAATGCCAAAAAGGGAGCCCCCTTTAATCTTTAGGACCCTATAAGCCCGAAACCCTAAACACCATACCATAGCCAAAAAGGGAGCCCCTTTTGTTTTATCCTAAAGCACCGGGCATCCTAGGCAAAGAAGCAGCTCCCGAATGCGTGCTTCTTCGGTCTCCGAGCAGAGATCCTTGGGCACCCAAATTCCTAGGGTCCCGTTTAGGGTTTAGGGTTTAGGATGTGGGTAGAAATTAGAGTCCTTTGTAAAGGTATCTATAAGGGTTTCTATAGGGCTTCTGTAAGGGTTCTATAAATGGGTATTTCTCTAAATTAGGGTCCCTTCTAGGGTCTTTTTTGTAAGGGTGCCGTATTCTATTGGGGACTTAAAGGACTCCTAATTTAGAGAACTATCCAAGTACCATTATGGGTTAAGGGTTCAGGGTTTAGAAGAAGAAACAGCAAGGATAATAACAACAACAATAAGAAGAAGACTAAGTACCTAATGATGAAGATCTGCTCTTGAATATCTAAGAACCAGTTCAATCATTAATTATCCGTCGTTTTCAATCAATAACTAATGATTCATATCTCTGCGGGCCCCTAAACTAACAATACGAAGAAGATGAATATCAACAATGGTAATCACACCAACAAGAATAATGCTAATTACAACAATAGTAGTATAGGGCCTAAGGGTTGACAGGGTTTTTGGGTTGTCGGGTTTCTCTCTCGTCTCCATTGTAGTTCCATTGTGGGGTTACCTTACAGGATCCTGAATATAGACTTGGTTATAGCAAGAACGGAACACCAATGGAGACGTTGGGTAGTATGGGGCTTAGAGCCTAGGGCTTGATAAGCATACCATTTTGGTTAAGGGCTTAGGGTTTCATTTTCGGGTCGCTAAGAAGTAGAGAAATAGTATAGGGCTAATCGAGTTTGGGTATAGGGCAAAAACATTTATACGCAGGGTTTTGGGGTTTGCGATTTCCGTGGTCAGTATACTACTGCTGCTGCTTCGGCTTGCCAAATAGTGCAGTGCTTATGGCGCTGATAAGGTTTCAGGATTTAGGGCTTAGGGTTTCGGGTGTATGGATGATTATGTTTTTCGAGTTTGGTACCCAGGGATTAATATACTGTCTTTTTTGATCACTCAATAACATAGGGCCTTTTGGACTGTTGGAGTTTAGGGTATAGCATTTCTGAATCTTCATGGTGTAAGGTTTAGGGTCGAGTCAACTAGACCAGTACAGGGCGGTTCAGGAATTGGGATACTACTTTGTTTATTTTGGGAGAATCCTTCTGACAAGACTGAACAATAATAAGAAGCATTATAATCATAAGGCTACTAATGGTACGCGATGGTCACCGTCATGCTCATCATCAATAATTGCTACTGCAGGGAACAAGGGTAACCATATGGGTATTAGCCGGATCCTGATGTAGAGAACCCCTAAACCCTAACCCTAAACCCTAAAACCCTAAAGGATTCCTTTAAGGGCTCCTCTTCAAGGGGTTCCTTTTAAAAGGGTTCCTTTTAAACCCTAAACCCTAAACCCTAAACCCCTAAACCCTAAACCCTAAACCCTAAACCCTAAACCCTAAACCAAAACCCTAAACCCTAAACCCTAAACCCCTTTTTTATGGGGAACCTAGGACCAGCAAACTGGAGCTGTACGAGCCGTCTGCCTTGGCCAAGACGCTTTCCAACTGGCACCGGGTGCTTTGCGACCCGAATTGCGACGACCCTGCAGAGGTGAACATAGGGGTTCTTATGAATATAGATATAGATATAATATATATATATATATGTGGAGGGG